AGTAAGTATGTGGCCTAAGGTATTTCATAAAAATAAGGGCAGGTGCAGATTTGGAAAGACCCTCCAGACAAGGAAATTACGGAGGTTCGAAAAGTTGTTACCATATTTATGGTGCACCCTGTATAGTAATCACCGTTAGTTATAACATTGACCCATCTTGACGGGCAGGTCAGCGATATGGGAAGATTGGGAGTCAGAGAGATCACCGACCACTTGTTCAAGGTGGTCACAGTTGATTAATTTTTTTCTTGCTAGGGAAACCTCGAGGGGCCGGAAGAAGTGGTAATCTCAAGGGGCAGTATGAGGTGAATAGGGTGGATGTGGAACCTGTCCAGCCTAGCTCCTCCAATTTAGCACGGGTATCTTTAGGTATATTAGGCCTAGCGTTGTCATGGAGGAGACCCACAAACCCCGTCTAGGCCTTTTTTCTCGAAGGCTTCCGCAAGTTTCTACAGCTCAATAGCGAGCGATGACGGTAAGGCCTTGCCTGTGCAATTCGCAGTAGAGCATTCCTTTTGGATTCCAGAAGCAGCAAATAAGAAACTTCTTGGGGTAGAGGCCGCATTTGGCTTGTTTCGGCGGCTGTACTCCTCGCACGAGCCAGACGGCGTGGTAGAGGATCCAGCTTCCATATCCAGTAATTAGGTCCTCCAGAAACTCCTTGCGATGTGGGCGGAGAAGGAGGGACTCATAAATGGATACCCGGATGTACCGCGTGTTATCGCAAGACATGAGCTATCCATCGAGTCAGCACATTTCTGTAACCAAGGACCTGAAGGCAACCAACGACACTTGATTGGGCACACCCATGTCTCGTCGCGAGACTGCGGGTGTTTCAGTCACAATCCACGATAATTTCAGGTAATCTAGATTACGACAAAAAATGGAAGACAAGATGGAAATAGTGCGATGAAGGTGAAGAAACTGAGTGAATCGGTGTTTCCAAGGTGAAAAAAGGCTTCAAAAAATCGTTAGACAAGGGGGCTGGACGAAAATGAGAGCAGAATGAAGAATGGTACATTGGGACGAGCTATACAAAATGTCTCACTGCGTACGTGTGGGTCCTGATGCGTATAACAGACTGCGGTAAGCTAAAATTCATTCACCCATAAGCATAAGTAAAAGAAAAAACCTTAGTAAAAGCAAAAGTAGCTCACCCTTTTCTGCCTCTAGGAGCAGGAAATCAAATAAGGGTCGCGACAGCAAAAGAATAATAGAGGAAAAAAGGATGGGAGGAAAAACATCGTCTCATCACTCGGCGATCAGCTGTAAGTGGGAGTCCTGTGTGGGGGTCTTATTGTTAGAACGAAAACTGCAATCTGTATCGCTCGACACTCGTCTGACGTGACATCGATCGAGGGGCGGGAAGTCCGGGCGATCCGCACTACGCCCTCCCTAGCTGTTGAGTTTTAGGACTCGACAACGTCCTTCCTGTTACCCTTGGGGGCCGCTGGGTATTCCTAGGGGCAAACTCGTATCTAAATAAATAAAATATCTTAATCGCGAACTGTGCCTTAAACTTCCGGATCCTCTTTGACGTCGAGAATGACGGAGCCGTTGATGGCGAGGGGGTGTCCAAACCGAGGCTTCTCTTCGAACCCGTGTCTCCTTTCTTGAAGCCAGCGAACCAGGGATGAACCTAGCGATGGAAGTGGTGCGAACGGTTGCCACTACGCCACTCGTAAAAGATCCCACAGACGAAGCTAACAAGTTCAGCACTATGCATGAACTTGATTCTTGTTGCTTATGAACGCAGTGGACGCATCAGAAGCCTTTGTATAATAACCCTCTCCTCGATAGATTTAGCATATAAACTATTTGAAAGCCAACTTTTGCAACGCTATTTTTTTAGTATAACCAGTCGCAGAAATGCAGATATTATAATCCGCTGAGTGTGTCTGTCAGTGTGTTTGTGGGTGTTTATCTGACCGGAAATCCATAACTCCTATCCTACCGGACCTAGAGCATTCAAATTTGGAAGGAGTACAGGTGACAGGATGGGAACACTCATGGTGGGTGACAAATTCGGACTCCGCCCACAGTTGGACCTAGAGCCCTAGAGCGAACAAACTTCTGCAGGAGTAAAGGCAACATCGTGGGAACCCTTATTATAGGCGGTAAGACTGGACTCCGTACAAAGCGGGCGAGGCGTGCGTAAAACTAGTAATTTGGACATGGGACATTCAAATTTGCTAGGTGTATAGGCGGCAGAATGGGAATGGTGAAGATAGGTGGCAGTGGCACTACTCCGCCTACAGGAGGGCGGGGAGTGAATGAAATAGTTTATTTAAACTTGTTCGTTCAATTTTGGCAGGAGTGCAGGCGGTAGGATGGAAATGTCGACGGGTGGTGGCATGTGTCGATCTCTGTGTGTGCTTCGCTGGAAATCAATAGCTCTTGTTCTCTTGGACCAGAGCTTTTGAACTTGGGAAAATTCAGGCGGCGGGTCAACTTCAACGCAAGCAGGAGGAGATTCCGGCGACTGCTGGGGGCGATCCAAGTGGTGAAAATATGTGACAAAATTTAAATGAAACCAACCAAATATCCAAGCGAAGTAGTAATTGACTCGGATCAAGAAGATAACGAGGAACCACCACATAAACCACTGCATGTAAGGGAGAGCAATATATCTGTAAAGATATCTGTAAACTGATCAACGGCGTGAGGGCTCATCTAAAATTGAATTCAGAAGAAAAACGTTCAGAGACAGAACTCTATGGCTTTTCTAGAAGTAGTTTTGTATAATTCGCTGCGTCGGTGTGAGTGTTGATGTGTGCCGTTGTGAGTGTTGGTTAGCGTAGCGTTTCGTGTGCCGGCATGTGTCGGTGTGTGTGCGTCGCAGTGCATGTACGTGTAAGCGACCAGAAAATCATAATCGATCTCCTGGACCTGGGCCGTTCTTATTTGGAAAGAATACAAGCGGCACTGATGGTTGTGGCCGTGTCACCGGAAATTCATCACTTCTGCCCTCTAGACCTAAACCTTTCTAATTCGGACGGTGTACAAGCGACATAAAGGAAGCATTTATATAGAAGATATGAAGCCATAACAATTGATGAGGACCAATAAAAAGCATGAAACGCAAGAGTCGCGGAAGTCATTACGTTTTTCGTGTCATCTGTGGAGCCTAGAAACTTTAGTAGATAGTGTGGGATGGAAAGGGACCGTATATGATGGTGACAGGAACTTATAGCAAGTGAACGGAGCTGATAAGTGGAGAGAGAGGACAAGAGCCGCTAGATTGCTTTCTCCTTCACTGTCAAAAGCGGAGCCTTGGGACCTCGGTGTAGATGTGACGGAATCGTGGCTGCTTGGCAAAGTCATGGGAGGCGGTCGTTTGGCGCGGCCCTCCGTAGCCACTTTGCCATTGGGACCCATGAGCTTTAAATGCCACCCATACAAAGCAAATTCTGCGTCAACCAACTCGTCCGAAGCGGTCAGCCTCTCGAATTACGATCAGCTATTGGCCTAATTAGAGTGGCTTCGCACCAGGCGGTGACGAGCTTGATTGAGTGTGAAGACTCATGGGTCATCGAACTCCCAAACATCCCTTAATCTAGTTGGAAGTGAAGAAATTGTAAAGATTATATGGAATAATGGTTTGACAAGAAATAAAATTATTAATTCATTGGTTTTAGAAGTTATTATCGTGCATAGATGAAGAAATACAGTAGCGCTCAAAAGTATTCGGCGAAATGCTTCTTCAGTTGTACTTATCAGTCGTAACTTCTTTCCTACTTAATCTAATCATGCGAAATTTCAATATGTGTAGCATTGATGTGGTGTGAATATTTACCACTATTAACCTGCATTTTGATCATGTTCTACATATCCCGAAGGGCACGAACTCAAAATCAACTGGAAATACAGACATTGGTCCTTCTAAGATTTCTTTCCTTTTGTCATGCCCAAAGTGTACAAGCGCTAATGCCGAAAGCAGTAGAGAAGAATAATGCATATGACGTGCGAATACCTGCAGACGTCACTAACTTTGCTTTAGCGAATTTTGCTACCGCAAAAAATAGCGTGCTCTCAGTTAAGTGGATATTGCTGCTTTGCCGTGAGACAGGGTTGGATGGTGTAAGATGTACTCTAGTTAAACATATCAAAATTTCGTGCGATTTGCTCCACGAAGGAAAAAGTTACGAACGAAAAAGCGTGAAAGCGTTTGGCCGAATACTTTTGAGCGCTACTGAAATACTCAAATGCGCACCTAACCTTTTCTCTTGGAGGTAAACAAGCATTAAGTTGATTGCTCAAACTCCATCTAGCATTAATTGCCTGGAGCGGTTTTCGGGAGGAACATCCTCATCAAATGATCATAAATCTTTTTTACTAACAGTTTTGTAGCTCCACAAGAATATGAAAACAGCTGTCAAGAAATGCTGAGTACAAATGAAGAGTAAGAAAACTCAAGAAGTTCAGCAAGAAGAACAGAAAGTCCGCAAATCCGAAATCACACCATGCAGAGGTAACTGATACCTTCCAAGATACCTCTGATCAATCTTTTTCGAGAACAGTAGAAGTGCTTTGGAATTTTTCGAACATTTTTATATGCATGATTTCTTGGATTTAACCTACAGCATTGAATTTTTCGAGCATTTTTATATGCATGATTTCTTGGATTTAATCTACAGCATTATCCTTTTAGAACTAAGAGTGTAGAAAAACAGTTAAGTGTGTTACTGTGCGCTAGGAATGTGAATGAGTTTGAAATATTGATGCGACTTCAAAATGAATATCACTGATATAATTCACATAAAGGGATGGATGAGGCTGATAGCTTCTAAAACTCTTCACAATTTCCTTCCTCGCTACTCGATTGATGAGGATGACTGAATAGTTTGGTGATCCCTGAGCCTTCACTCCTAGTAACTTAAAAAGTTAGTAACGTTACACTTGTGCAGCAGTCTAGCAGCACACTTCCAACCGTAACTGGCGCTTAATTTTCAAACAGCCTCCCAACGCACACTTTCGCCTTCGATAACTCGTGGGTTTTTATGTCAGGAATTTCAAGGTTATACTCGCTCCTCTGTGTCACGTCATGCACCTTGTACAACATAGGGCTCTTTAAAGCACTAGGGAATCTGTATGTTACGACAAGATCAAGTTGACGCCGTTATTCGGGGCTTCCAGGAACCCTTAACATCCAAGCGAATTTCCGAAATTCGGGGCATGCCAGTTATATTCGTACGAACGATTTCGAAGAGACATAAGGCCACAAGGTCATCTGAAGGCAGTGAGATTGACGCTATGTCTTGCTCACAAAAAAGTTGTGCAGCGTGCAAGAAATGGCTCACGTCAAAATTTTTGCGAAATCTCGACGTCCGACAGACCAATCCATCCGTAGAGACTGTTCTACGTTTTTTGAGAGAGGTCGGTCTGTTTGGATGTCGTCCAGCTAAGAAGCCGCTGATTTCTACCAAGAATCGCAAAGCGCTTCTCGATTGGGCTCATGCTCACAAAAACTGGGCAATCCAGCAGTAGCGCAAGGCCATCTAAAGTGACGAACCCAAGTTTTTGCAGTCAGGTAAGGGTGAAATCAAGTTTGTGTGGCGTCCGGTACCAGATGCCATGCAAGTTACCAGCTGACGACCGTGAAGTATGGCGCGGGTACGGTGATTGTTCACGGCAGCTTCTGTGGTAAAGGAGTGTGCCCCCTCTGAAGTATTGAGGGTAAGATGAATTCCAAGATATGCACCGTTCGCAGTACTGGCCCCGGTGTCTTAATTTTCCTCGGATCATGACTCGAAGCACAAATCGGAGCTGCTCACCAACAAATTCCGTTCGCCTGCTACCGTGGCCATTGTTGCGATCCCCAGATTGAGTCCCAATGAACATCTATAGGGTTGGCTCGAGTGTCGAGTTAAAAGCCTTTGTGCCCACAACAAGCACGACAAGCTTCTCAACTGAAGAATGTATGGGAGAACATCTCTCAGGAAGAGATCGACAAACTCATCAATTTCATGTCACGCCGTCTCAAGCGGTCACTGATTTCAAAGTTTATGCTACGGAGCGTTGGTGTCTTACTTGTTATATTCGCTCTTAGGCAAGTTGTTGCGCTGAGAAATGGAAAATTAGGACAGAGTGAAGTCTTACTGGTATTATGGAGCTCAACCCTGTTCTTGACTAAAGTCTTCCAAAATATTCCACAATTAGCTTTCTAACCACATTCATTGATAGGCATTCACAGTGGCGAAACCGAATGTAAAGATGCTATTTCGAAGCAGTTACGTTTGAAAAAGTGGAAACGCATACTTCACTGACCGGTACTGCAGTGCGAAGAAGCTCTGACTATTCCGATAGCTGATCGTAAAGAGAGGCTGACTGGTTTGGATGAGTTGGCTGACGCATAATTTGCGTTGTATGGGTGGCAAGTGAAACCTACGCGGCCCTATCGTAAAGTGGCTGCGAAGGGCTGCGCCAAACGACATACAACCGGGATCCGCAGCAAACATGAGCCGCAGGGTCCGTTGCGCTCTTCGACGAGGCCAAGTCGTACTTCGAGAGCATATACGAACGTCACAAATATGTTAGATTATGTTGTGCTGGCGGATACTTACATTAGATGTGTAAGAACGGTACGCTCAAGAACGCTCAATAGCGGAGATGTCAGACAAATAGACGGGCGAGAGGGACATGTTATCGACGTGCCATGATGCGTCCCAAGGCCAATCGATTAAGCCAGTGGTGGTAGAAGACTACAATCCTGCAAATGGATCCGTTGACCTTCCCGATCAAATGTGTTCATGCACCCTTTTTATTAGAGAAACGACCAAGTGGTAGTCATGCCTTTTTATCAGCTGAATACACAAACCAGTGTAGTCAACGTCTGGCATGCACTTTCCGTAGTGAAAAAAAAGGAAAAGGGCCAAGAAATTCAAGAGTCGCATAAGTTAGTCCATTTTGGTAGCATGGAGACTCGGAGAGATCATTTCGCCACATGTTACGAAGTGGAAGGAGTGAAGGGAAAACTCCTCCGGCGCTGATCCATCCCGTTGAGATGAGGATGAGCCCTCGCATTCGACATCCACTCAGAATCGTGATGGCGTAATGAATACTTGTGGCCTATACAATGAGTTGCGGTGGTCAGCTGCTGCATGATCCAACGCTTTTTTCTCCTAGACGACTCTGGACCAACACTGGAGGGTTGGTTGGCCTGGGCGGACATTGTTCTGGGATTCGAACCTGCGAACACGTGTGTGTGATAGTGTGCCACTTGCCACTACACTACATCCGCCCTAGTTACTGATTTCCTGAACCAAGAAGAACATCAAGTTTCCAATCATTTCACGAGGGTGTTCTAATTGACTATTTGTAAATATTCGCTAATATTATGACATCTATGCTGTAATATGTTGTAATATGTTAAATCAATGAATAATGAATTAAACCGGATTGTGATCGAAGTACTGTTTGAAAAGAATGGACAGTGCGAGCGTTACATCAGATCACACAGTCGCACGTATACGCTACTCTCTTAGCCCAAACATATATACTCACCTCCCTGGAGCATGAAAAAGCGTTAAAAAACAAAGATAAAAGAGCCAATACAATAGCGTGATACACCAAGTGCAGCCCGCGGAAACGCAGAAACAAGGTGTACCACGGGCAGCACGCGGTACCAAGATTAACCTGAGGGAACCCCCAACAGGGCAATGGGTAAGACTGCTCGGGAAAGGCTGTGAAAATCTCAAAGCTGTCCGAAAGAGGGTTATAATGGCGAACTGTAATTTCAAAGCACGACACACGACTTTGCATAGGAAGCGTGTATCGGAGATATGATCATGCAAGTTAGGAAGATCAAGCACGACGTCATCATACTGCAAAGCATCTCCGAGGACGGAGGAGAACCGTTCCATGGAAAATGTGAAGGCAGTGACATGGGTGGTGTAGCTGTCCTCGTCAATACGCAATAGGCCATGAATATCGATTTGCACGAAAGGTCGACAACGTGAACCCGACGTTTACCATTGAGAAGAATCGGCTCAACCTCAGCTCTAGTAATCTTCGTTGCCTACGCACCAACAGGTAGCCATAGTGCAAAGGAGCTGGAAGCGCTTCATATGGACCTGGTAAAGCTTACCGAGAGGACTCACGCAACGGAATCCAATGACTGTTCGAGGTTACCCTGTTGACCCTCACCATCCATGGCGATTCGTACTTCTAAAAGCTCTTCCAATTACGACGAACTTATATGAGCATTTCCATAACAAAGTAGACCACACTATCTCCAATCAAAAGTTTTGCCTGAGTTCGCTGTTGTTCCAATGTTTTATATGGGATTGGACCACGGTCTATCCATGTACCGTTTCTCAGCGCACGGAAAGAGCTGCGAAGTTCAGAAAGCGGATGCCCCAAAACTTCATCAATTGGGGTCACTTCGCTGTCCTTTTAGCTTTGTGGGAAGAATTCGATATCGACATCATCGACAGAGAAAGATCCGGCTCGTTGAACATCTTTACGACAGTGTTAGGAAAACGGAGAGCACACAAGCAACCAAGGGACGTCTCCCTTCGAAGGCTCTCGAGCTGACACCAATCGTGCGAGCTACAAACAATCGTCAACTAACGTCTGCGGACTTGCAAATTTACGCAGAGAAGCTCTGAAGGAGGATTAAAAATTGAGTGGAGCAGTAGTTTTGGCCGAAGCCGCCGAGACCGAGAAGAGCGTTCGCAAAATCAGCCAGAGCTTCGGTAATTGAAAGAGCAAAATGACTTCCCTTTGGTCCTGACGGAATTGTTACTGCATCTGGAAGTACAGCGGCGAGAGTCGTCTAGAAATTCTACTCGGGTCTTTTCAATAGCCATGTCTATCACCCTACCTATCATCTTAGGCAAGACAGATATGTTGCTCGTTAGTTCACCCGAAATTCGAAGTGCCAGCACGTCAGAAGCCTAGTCTAGGCTCTTCAAGTGAAACCTGCCAGAATGGAAAGCACCCACGTCGTAAAAAACGAGCAAGTGGGAATATAAGAAAGTAGATTAGGGCAAATATCGCCCAACCCCCACTGTATGTAAGCTATACACTTTTCACACAAGCTATCCTTAACAGATTGGCAGAACGTTAGATGAAGGAAAGCCAGCAAGCAGGGTTTCGGAGGGTCCAGTACAGTCGATCACATTCACACTGTTACAAGACTCGTTGAAGTATCGCGGGGTACAAGATGCCGCTATGTTTGAGATTCAATGATTCAAATGAGGCCAGAAAGATACATCAACTCCACGACCGAAATCACGCTATTGTGCTACTTACATCACCTCCTCTTCGCAGACGACATCGTGCCTATGATACCGAACATAGAGCAGGTGTAATGAATGTTGGCCGAGCTCGACAGCACTTGTGGAAAGACTGGCTTGAGAATGAACTCAACGAGAGCGATGTTCACGAGAAATGAATAAGAAGCTGATGCTCCCTATACGTTAATGGAACGAATATCTCCGAATAGTTAAACTATGTGTACTTAGGTTGTGAAGTGAACATGATGAAAGACCTAGCTCTAGAGCTGAGCAGAAGAAAACACGCCGGATGAGGAACATTAGAGAATATCGAGGGAGTAGTGAAGAAGACAATGAACATTCGACCCCGCGCTCACCTTTTCGACGCTGTTGTACTTCCTGATTTGACATACGCCTCTGAGACTTGGAATTAACGAAAGCAGGACGAACATGCAGTTAGTGTAACTTAGCGCGCTGTGGAAAAGACAATGCCTGAAGTCCCGACATAAGCAAGTGCAAAGAATAAGCAGCTACGAGCTACGTTAAAGGCACGGTTCACGATAAAAAAAGACTACTGAGTTCTTCCTTTAGGAATACTCAGCGCCCCCCATGGGTGGTAGAAGGGACCCTCTCGCTCCCACAATCTCGGTGCTTAGGGCATAGTGGAAGCCCCGTTGCTGTCGTAGTTCGCTTTCCCGCCCCTCGATCGATGTCACGTCATCACGTCAGACGGGAGTCGAGACAGTACAGATTGCAACTAGTCGTTCTAGGACCCACACACAGTCAGCTGATCGCCGAGTGATGAGGCGGTGTTTTTCTCCCATTTTTTTTCCTCTGTTTTTCTTTTTGCTGCCGCGATCCCTTATTTAATTTCCTACTCCTAGAGGCAGGAAAAGGTGAGCTACTTTTGCTGTTACTAGGGTTTTTTGTTTATTTATGCTTATAAGTGAATGAGTTTTTGCTTACCATTGCCTGTTATTCGCACCAGGACCCACACGCGCGCAGTGAAACACACTGTTTAGCTCGTCCGCACGCCCCACTCTTCTTCATTTTTCTGGTTTCATTCTCGTCCAGCCCCCTTTTTAACGGTTTTTCGAAGCCCTTTTCACTTTGGAAACACCGATGCAAGCAGTTTCTTCACCTTAGTCGCACTAGTTCCGATCTTGTCTTCCATTTTTAATCATAATCTGGATTACCCAAAATTATCATGAACTGTGCCTCTAAGGAACGAAGATCACGGACGCCGTCGCTTATGACAAGGAATTGAAGATCAGGTGGGCCAGACACGTCAGGTAACATTGTGATGACCGTTAGACCACGAGACGTCAAACGCACACCAGGACGGTCACCAGTGCGATGTTCAAACTTCTTTAGGACAGCTCTGGACGTAAGGAGCGCCATGTCTCGCGTCCCTCAAGGGCGGACGATCCACTGGACTGCTCTGGCTCGCGACAGGCACTAAAAATCACTAACTCTGTCTCTTTGTCGGTGTACCTTTCTGTCTGTCAACCCTCAAAAAGTCATGTATACACGGTGAGAGAAGCATGAGGAAGGTGCTTTGAATACTTCGAGCGCTGTGAATAGGCAGCTGTTAATTTTTAGTGGAAGGAATTGATAGGTGCAAGTTGCGCTTTACAATATATCACTTAAAATTACGATATCAACCAGTTGGGCTATACACCCTAACGTGCACATCTCTTGCCCAGAAGTGGCTGTGGTGGCATTTCCAATTTCCACGGCAAGGGACATGAAAAGCACGCATAGCCATAGCCCAACTGTTTGAAATAATATATTGCAAATCACAAGTGAAACTAGCCATTCAACATTACAAATGATTGCAGTTGCAATTGGTGAAAATGAATCTACTTCAGAAAATGATGTGCTGGCAGAAGTGTATTGTGAAAACAGAAGAGACCAATTTCACATTTTCTAAACACAACAGGCCATGTCCAACGCGGTCAAGATGTGTCCAGTAACGCTGCGTTTTCAGAGCACGTCGGTGTAATCTGAAAGCGCCCAGACGTGGATCGATATAGGTCAATCAATGCCAGCTTTCCACCCGGCCCGTCGATTGGAAGGAAAGAACAAAAGGACTTATTGGAAAGGACAAAATTACTGAATCGTACATCGACTGGCCGCTGAATTTCAACGTGCTAGCTAAATAGGCGCTCACACAACAATACAATTCTGAATGGATGTTGAGGGCATGGGTGCCCTCGAGAACAGTTGAATTAACGCAAGATTTTTACTCGACATTTTTTAATAAGAATGCTTTCCCGAAGTATCTGATATGCTGCCGGAAGAAGAATATTACAAGGAACGAGTAAAATTAAGAGGACGATATAACCAACTGTTTTTCAGCGATGATCTCCGGAGGATAACGAGCGCCAAAAGTGGCTATGATCATTAAGTACACAAAAGACTCGGCCAGCTTGCGTACGGCTGCACCAAGCGCCGATGGCTCCTAGAAAGGAGACACTTTAAAGAAGTAGCTATAAAAAGTTCGAGAATCTGATGAGTTTTGGAGAGGGAAAAAACCTTCACCTTTCCATCTTTCCCGGGTGTGACGTGAACGCCGCTAAGGAATGCTACATAATCCGAGAAAAAATTTACCGGACCAGTAAGAGCCGTCTGAAGCATACCTATTTTAACCGTCTACAATACAGTGAAAGTAACAGTCCAAAAACGTACTCAACTGCATTCTAGGACTACAAGGCAAAAATAACATATAAGATGGATTAGAACCTACTTGGAAATTGAAGACATATGACATATACTCGACTAACGACGGAACTTCTCTAGAAGCAACAAAAAAGAATAAACTAGCTAACTTCGTAGATCAGTAACCAGCAAACTCACGTAATTGCTTCCCGTTTCTGCACTTCACTCAGCTCTTCCTTCTTTTTCACTTTACCATCATGAAGTGAGAAAGCCAAGGTGGTGATCTGAAAAGGTGGTTGCTCAATGTTTACGCATTGGCTGGTGAGAAAGAATGAGAAGGATATGGACTGGCACCCAAATGCTCTAGTCTACTCTTCGTATCTCGTCACGATATGTTCATTTAAAGATTCAAACCACTGCACATGATATTTTTCATATCACGCTCAGTGCTTCGAACCCTAGAGCTTACCCAAAATATCACATGAGCTCGTCTTCTGTGGGGCACAGAGGACGAGCTCGTCTTCTGTGGGGCACAGAGGACTTAACCTATTTCCGGTTACAACGAAAAGGCGGGAGACAGACAGAGCTGGTCACCTGTTCGTGACAATTTTTAAGTGTAACGCATGCTGTAACGATCTGATTCACAGTTAACTCGAAGCGCCTTGTGAACCAGACAAGGGAAAAGGAAGAAAAGTTTCAAGTTTTATTACATGCAGCGCACATATAATAGAGCAAAACACCTATAAGAAGAAGTAAAAAGAAACATATAAACAAACAAATCAAGAACACCAGTAAGAAGAGGGACAAAAGAATGCATGCGAAACAAAAGTGAATATCTCGTATACCAACAAAAAAACTAATTAGCGAGGGGAAGATTTCTATCCAACGGTTTTTTGAAACCTGCAATGGAACCTGGCACCGTACATTTAGAAGAACAGATAAGGATCTGGTATAGGAAAAAAATAAAAAAATATAATAAAGAAAAATAAGACTGAATTTTACCTTCTGCACAGCTACCATCATCGGTCCTGTTATGTCCAGATAATACCTAGTAAGAACAAGCCATCGAAAAAAGTGGATGAAAAGCAGATAACTCATGGAGAAGCCAAAAACAAGCCTTAAAAGAACAATCCTCTCCACAATTCCGTACAAGACATACACAATATAACCATTGCCATCATTTAAGAAGTGGTGAATTGATAACTACTCAGGAATTTGGATCCGCCAAAGGATGGGGAGAAATTTTACGCACAGATTCCATATCCTGACGCTAGCTTCGAATCACTCGTTATCAACATCATTTTAGCGCCAACCTACAGCAGTCAAGTTTAATTTAGCAGTTCATAATAGTAAAGCGCAAAGGTAATCCTCTCTATATATAAAGCGCTAACTTTGCGTGCCCGTTTGTATGCCCGTTTGTGTGTCCTCCCAAAAGCCACGTAGGCACGACCAAGAGCGTGAAAATCACAAGAGTGCGGTGAGAAAGCAGGTACGAAATCGGCAGTCAACAGATACTCTTTATATCGGTCCGTTGATTGATATCCAATCTATTTATGATGTCACAGACTAAAAATTACTATTCGCCTCCCACGACGCAGGACAACCAAACCCCTAGGAACTAGAGGAGATTATAATGGAAACAATTCCACGACCACCTATTAGTGTCAAGAGATCAATACCCACAAAGCATCAGAACGCTCAAATTGAGGAGTATCACCTAATGGGGAAACGGTTAGAAAATGTAAGTCAACCATTACTGTTTGTATTATAAGTTACCCTATAAGTTTATTACGCCTGCGGAAGGGCAAACGTGAGAAAGAAACCAAAACGCAATATAAATATCGAACATTTGTACAAGCAACCAATACGCAATACAAAGATAAATTAGTTAAATAATCAGTCTTAGGAAACGTTAGGACCAGTTCCCTTCATCAGCAACTTAACTAATTGGCGTTTGAACTGTGCTAGCGATGAAGAGACAGATATGTTTTTCACCACTCTTAGATAATCACTGCCAGCCCTAAAAATAAAGCTACTTGCCCGCAAGCTAGTTTTAGGACGTGCCGAAGAAATCTTCATGGAGCCACCCCTAGTCCTAGAATGTGTCAGCTTGAAGACATTGGAACCGTGACCACGCGTGCCGTGTATAAGTTTGTGAACCATACAAAGATCGAAAACCCTGCGTCGCGCTTTTTAAGATGTCAGTCCAAGATACTGATTCCTGATAGTTGCCTTAGGTATTCTGGAGTATAAAAAACCACCAATTCGAATAAGCAGCTTACGAGTAAACTTAATCTGAACCTTTTCGAGCGCATAGACATGTTTCCTTCTCCTGCTGTTGAAAACCGTTGTGCTGGATTCGACCGGAGGTCGCACCTACGACTTGTAAGCAAACAACAAGGCTCCTTTATTAGCTAAAAACAGCCCTTTGAAAATTTGAAATGTTCGAAGATTGGCTACTCTGGTCTTCGTTTTAATGTGCTCCGTGAAGTCTAGTTTGTCGTTATAATAAAAACCGAGGTCTCTGACGGATTGCACTGCAGAGAGAAGGACGCCATCAGCAGTGTACGTTCGCGTTGGTGAAGTACAAGAATGTAGTTGCATGTACACTGTCTTGTGTGGCGCTATAGGCAGTTGCCAGTTCTTCGAACAACTCACCGTTAAATCAATTGCTCTTTGGCATTTTTATGTCGTCGGCATACACCTTCGGAGTGACACCTGCTTCACACAGCATCTCGGGATGCTCAGCCGTGAACACATTGAAAAGCACCGGTGACAGTACACCTCCCTGGGGTACACCACTTATCACCCACCGGACTTGCGAAAAGGATTGACCAATCTTAACTTGAAACTTCCTATTACTCAGATACTCGGAAATCCAATTCGTAATGATCGGGTGGTATTTCAGGGCGTTCAGCTTCATGATCAGTTTCTTGTGCAAAACTCTATCGAAAGCCTTGGCAAAGTCGAAGTAAATGACGTCGCAGGAAAGCTTCTCATCAAGAGCTTCAGTCCAATCGTCCAGGCACTCAATCATATTTGTTTCAACAGAAAGGCCAGGAGTGAAACCATGCTGGTGCCTCGAAACAATATGATTAACGGACAAGTGACGACTGACGTACTTCTTCAGAACTTTCTCAAATAGCCGACAGAAAAGAGACGTAATACTTACGGGACCATGGTTCTCAGGGTTCCATGATGGCTCTTTCTTCAGTAGCGGAGTAACGTAGGAATGTTTTCAGCGCAGAGGTACCTCACTGAAGCATAACGACTGATTAAAGATGTATGCGAGAGGGCCACAGATAACAGCGGCTATTCTCTGCACAACAAAAAATGGCACAAAATCAGGGGTGACTGAGGAAGAACTAGGCCATTTCATGATTAACTCATATAGCTCCGAGGCGATGAACCACGGAAACTCCTTCATTGGCTCGACAGACGGCGTAAACCAATCAGGGACTTTTCCATCATTTTCCTGGAAGAAGCTCTCGAAGTGTTCAGCTTACTGGCGTTATCTACTGGAGAGAATGCAACAACTCCCTCTCTTCTCAGACAACCGATTCGCTTGAAGTCCTTGATGCTTCTACTCAAAACCTGTGAAAGACCTTAACATAACTTGATTCAATAATTTTCCTTTCTGAATAATCGTTGTATCTTCTCAGATAAGTGTGGAAACGTCTAGTAAAGGCTTTGTATTCATCGCAATTTCCAGATTGTCGGGCCTCATTGAATAAGCATTCTCGATGCTCCCACATATTCTGCAAATGCCTGGGTAAGTGGATTGATTTCACGCAAGGAACCTTCTTCCAGGGAATGTAGTAGTCAATTGCGCCGTGCAAAACAGATAAGAAAAGCTCGTACTTCTCATTCACGCTACCTTGAGATTCAAGCAAGGGAATCCAGTGAATTTGAGCTAGACTGTGGCACATATTATCAAAATCACAGCTGGAATACATCCGTTTGTAAATGTAGCTAGACGGAGGCACTTGTACCATGATTCCAAAAACAATGCTATTGTGGTCACTCACCTACAGGTAGGACAACTTTGGAATTTCTTACAAAACGTGGCGTATTAGAGAAAACCAAATCAGGAATGTTGTTACCCCTGGTGGGTTTTCTGACATATTGAGTAAGGTTGTGGCAATGAATTAACTCATTCATATAGACCTTAGCGAGAGAATCAGGACAACCATCTGACTGGTTCTAAAGTTCCGGCAAATTGAAATCACCGAGTACGACACTATGTTTCTCACATGATAATAAGTGCTAAGTGCTTTAACAAGCAATTCGGAGTTTGCTCTGAAACACGAGGGTGCCCTATAGACCAAAATCATTCTAAAACTGGAATCGTCACAGAATACCTCTGCGCGAAGTATGTCGTATGACTCCTCTACTGATTCGACGAATACTGGAAATAGTGAAAGCCTACGTTGAGCCACAAGAATGACACCACCACCAGGTTTTTTAGGACGGTCACATCTAACTGTGACGTAGTGGTCCACAACAGCACCAAGTAATCCGCCTAAAGTATGATTTGGTTTTAACCATGTCTCTGAAAATGCTACAATGCCATAGTTATTCGTCAGCGAAACTCCTTGTTTCGAGATACCGATCTCACATTAGCATAGAAACACCTGAGCGGTCCAGCATATCGAGGACAACTTCTCAGTTTCCCTCGATGCTACTAGAGCGCCTACCCACATGACTAGGATCGGAGGTGGCGGTTGAACGGTGTACCATTGGCAGGTGGTGTACCTTCCTCATGCCTAGTCATGCGGCTACGCTCCTCACGCCTACGCCTTCTTCGCTCTGGAGTCAGGGACTCTCTTAAATACAGGGTGGCTACAAAGCATGGTCCGGTATTTATTCGCATGTAAAAAAATAAATAGGACACACCTCTTTAAGAATTTTCGTTGAATGGTATGACTAAGATAAAAGAACATTTATTCGAGGTATTGTTCAAAATGATCGCCTTTGGCCAGAATACAAGCCTCCAACCTCTTCGTAAAGGCTCCCACGGTGGGCCGCAAGTATTCGACATCAATTTTCTGCCATTTCCTCTAAAGAGCTGCTTTAAGACTGCCCAAACTGCGGTGGGGCGAAGAAGACACTTTCCGCTGCAGATAGTTCCAAACGGAGTAGTCCATTGGATTGAGGTCTGGGGAGTTAGATGGCCACATGTATTTGTCCAGGAATCCAGGAAAATGATGTGGGCAGAAGGAAATCGTGGAATTCGACCCATGTGCTGGTGCCCAGTCCTGTTGCAAGATAAAGTTCCGGTCTCCAAAGTGATTTCGGGCCCAAGGCAACAGTGTGTCCTTTTAAAATAATATTATGATAAGTTTCGGAGTTGATTTTGACGTTTTTATCAACAAAAACGAGAGGTGTTTTGCCTTCCGATGTTAATCCGGCCCATACCATCACCGACTTCGGGAACAGGCTCCTGGTTTTTACTCGTCGTTTTCTGGAGTTTTCCTCTGCCCGAGGTAGCAACTGCCGCTGGTTTTGGCTGTTCTGCGCGACCTCGACCGTAGAGATTTTCTCGTCTGTCCACACGATGTCCGAGAGGCGGCCCGCACGAACTGCTGCCAGAAGCTTCTGACATTTTTCCAGTCTGTTCTTCTTTGCTGCTTCGCTAAGCATCTGGCCTCGGAAGAAGCGGTAACTGTGTAAATCTAGTTCACATTTCACAATGTTTTGAACACTTCTTCGTGAGATATGCTAATCCGAAGCAATTTTGTTCATGCTGACCTCACCGTTGCGTGAGATCCTCTTCTTGATCACCTTCCGATTCCGTGGAACATTGACAGTTCTTTGACGCCCTGATTTTGGAAGTGATCGCTGGTGTCCACGCTCCCTGTACTGAGCCACAATTGTTCTGACTGTTCTGTCGTTGATGTGCAGCGTTCTTGCAATCTCCGCAGCGGAACATCCTTCGTCCACGAAATGTGCGATTGTGGCACGGTGAGGAGATGGTCGCACTTCTCCGAGGTATTTCTACCGACAGTCGCAATAATTTGGCTATAGTGCATGACTGACATACTTTATTCAAGGCATATATTGCACAGCTGAAACAGGGATTTAAAGGTTGGCAAGCGACGTGTTATTTGGAGCCATACTTTGTAGCCACCCTGTAGACTCCCTGCCCAGTAAAGTAGCGGAGCCGTTAAGCCCTTCTCACCGCCAGTCGTATGAAAACTCGTGACGGTAGCACAACTTTCAACGGCCTATCCTTGCCTATTAGAGGCCTGCTTAGACGGTATACACTCATAGGGTTACATTCAATGCCAAGTCTAAAATATTACATACACTAGCATAATCGTATGAAAGGCGTTCCCGTGTACTTTGACTTTTCACTTCAGGTACGCCACTAATCACAACGGATCGGAGTCTGTCCACTTCCTGGTAGGGTAACCCCGCTTCAGTGGAAGCAGGAACTCTACCAGACGGTTAGACCCCAATCTTCTGACGTAGTATCAACACTACTGACAGGTGGCGACTCACGAGGCACTAACTTGCGAACACAAACTAATTCTTGCCTCAGCCCTATATTCTCCAAGCAAAGTGACTGAAGCTCACGTGTGATCGCAGTAATCACCTTCTTTATGCCATCAGCAATCCGGCTCGACTTCGTGATGGCCTCCACTTGCTCTTGCAACTCCTTCGATCCTGGCTCGCCTTGCTTCTGCCCATTAGCACTTTTCGAGGCACCGCTGCGTAGATCCATGGCGAATATATGCATTGATCAATGTCACGACCGCGTTCTGGATCAAGGACCAGGACACGCTCGGGGAAATATCCGCCTACCAAAGGGGAGGCGTCCTGTCGCCCT